TTTCTGCATCCGGCACCTCTCCCCCGTGCTTGATGCCACTTCCTTTGCCGATGAGTTTCCCATCCTTCCTCAGAACGAAACCCCAGGCGGAGCGTCCATGTCCTTCCGATGACCCATCCGAGTATGCACAAATGTCCGTTCCTGGCACGTCGCTAATCCTTCTAACGCAACATTCGCGTTCCATCGACTTTGAGCCTGATTTCCTAGAGTAAACGACCAGCGTCAGACTTTCAGGAGCTTCTACTTCCGGAAGCTCACGGTAGGCACGCTGTAATCGTGACATCTGGATTTCTGATCTGGCTGATTTTTTGGCGGTCTTTTTATATTTTTGGGTGCCGACATTTGGGCACACGGAAGCTCGGATCCTCAGAGGGTGTCGATCGTCAAGGGTCTTAAGCCTTGCCGATATTCGAAGTCGGTTTCCCTCAAGTATGACTTTTGCTGGCGGGATTCCTCCTTCTCCGTGAAGGACTACATTTGGTGTTGTCCTCATTGCTGGAAGCGCAGCCCGTAGTCCCATCAGGATCGATCTATCAATCATGCTGCATAGGTTAGACGTGGATGACGTGACCATTCCTCGTATAGTTGGACGTTTGGATCCTGGCCACCAGACATCAGATCCAAAGGTTGCTAGTGAGACAACGCACATGTCTACTGCCTTAAATAATGGCCCAGGAGCTGCTCCCCGAAAGGCAGAATTGAAACGGCGCATATGCTGTGCAGCTTTTATCGCTTTCCCGCACCACGTAGTTACGTGGTGTTTGAAATTGAGTCGAGGATCCAAATGTACGCCCAGCCATCGAATATGATCAGCGGGCTCTATGAGATTTCCATTCACGTGAACCCCAACTGCTTCTTCTCGGCGTCGTCCTGAGAATTGGATGACTTCAGACTTTTCCGTTTCGAAGGCAACGGCATTTGTCCCTGCCCACTCGAGAAGATGGTCTACCTCTCTTTGTGCAGCGCTGGCAGATTCAGCAACTGTGCGTCCAAACCCTAGAATTCCAATATCATCGGCGTAGCTAAACCTCGATCCTGGGTTGCCGCTTTTCATTGGCTCCGCCATATACAGAAGGAATAGTAAAGGCGAAATTGGTGAGCCCTGTGGGACTCCACAGACCAACTCTCTCTAGGTGGTGACTCCGCCGGAAAAACGCACTTGAACTTTCCGGTGTGTGAGGAATGAAGTCGTCCACCGGAGGATTGAGTCTAGCCATCCCTGGGCTTGCATGCGCCTAACCAAGCGATTGTGGAGCACTGCATCGAACGCTCATTGGACGTCTAAAGTTACAAATGTCGAGGCCCATCCCTGGGAGCGTGCTTCTTCGACGTCGTGGACTACGCAGGAGACCAGGTCCGTTACAGATCGCTTTGGGAGCGCACCAAATTGTTGATGGCCAACCACATCATGAGTGATTGCGAGGTGCGCCATTCGCTTGGCAAGAAGTCTTTCTAATCCTTTGCCTAGGCACGAGAGTAGAGCAATTGGTCTCTACCTTTGATTGAAGTTGGATCCCGATTTGGCTTTTCCAATAGCACCACTTCTGCAAGTTTGAAGCAGGATGGGTGGGTGCCGAGCCGTATGCAAGCTCTAAAGAGCTGCGCAACACACGGTCCAATCGTCTTCCAGCAAACCTCAAGAAGCTCGACTGTGACTCCGTCTGCTCCTGGGGCCGCCTCGGTGCAGCCGATGGTGCAAGTTCGCACTTCATTTTCTGTTATTTCGTCTTCCCAGGGTATCCGGTTATTTCTGGGAGCAGTGCACGTAGGAAGATCGTCCGATGCTTGGTGACGTGCAAGGAGAGCATCACGGAGAACTGTGGCTCGCTCAGATGGGTCGGTGATATACGATCCGTTATAGTTGAGCGGCGGAGGAGGTCTGACCTGTCTGTGGTTGGCCGAGCGCATCAGCTTGAATATGTCTGCCGGAGTTGTCATCGCTTCGACTTGACATGTCTGATGTTCCTTCTTAGCGGCTGTGATAGTCGCACGAAGCTTCTTCGCACAGATAGCCCGCTGTGAGAGTGATTTTGAGGCTCGGTATTCGGCGTGTGCGGATTTGCACCTAGAAGTCCACCATGGTGCAGATTTTCCGCTTTCCTTTCTGACCCGGGTTCAAGTTGCTTTAATGGCCTCCGTGAGATGGAAGCATATCTCCTGAGCGTATGCATCCACTTTATCTATTGTACTCAAATCTGAGGGCGGATGTACCCATTTTGCAATGGCCCGCGCAAACTTTGGCAGATTTCCCTTGGGTACTCTGATCTTTACTGGCACTGGGCCACTGGTGACGGTTGCAGCAGGTACGATTCCGCGGATTGGAAGATGGTCGCTGGCCATACACTCCTCACGATCGACCCAGGCCCGGGCTCCAGAAATATTGGTCCAAGCGAGTTCCAAGGTATTACCGGCTTTGTGAGTGGGCTCTCCAATGATAAGGCAAGAAAGATGGAAGTTTTCCGCCCACTTTTCTATCTCATCACCTTGTCCATGCGGCTTAGTAGCGCCTGGTTGACAGGCAGCGTGCACCGAGTTGAAGTCCCCAGCTGCAATCACCCTAGGGGTCGGATTCCAGTTTATCAGTGGCAGGATAGCAGTCGGGTTGTTAGGAGCTTTATACACGTTGAGGAACGTGATTTCATTGACCTTTACCCAGCAGTAATCACCAGTGGGCGTGGGACAAGGAAATAACTGCTCCGCTGATATCCCATTTTTGTTCTTTCGGGTGTATGTCATAGCCCTCGGTCTGACATCTACACCTCCGTGCGGTGTATGACAGATATAACCTGGGTTTGATATGGTTTCTTTTGATCTTAAGTTCCATCGCGGTTCTTGAATTGGCATAACATCGACGCCTAGCTCGTAAGCTCTAGAGAGCGCAATGTTGTAGGTTGGGCCACCCCTGCCTACGTTTATTGACATAAAACTTAGTGTAGGAGGGGGGCGGGAAGGGGCCCGTGGGGCGCCCTTCACAAAGCTTCTTCAGGGTTCAAGGCCCCAAAGCCCGAACCCTCAGTCATTGCTGTGTCTGTCGATAGATTGTCCTTAACAGCAGCAGGAGAAGTTGGTCTTGTCGATCTAGCGGCAGCTGTAGCCACCTCTGCGGCCTTGGTAGCAGCTTTGGCTCGAGCGACGGCCTGGTACTCGCGTTGGCCAGCTTGTCGAATCGTCACAAGTTGCTCCCTGGTAGCTGGGCCAGACCTATTAGGACGAGCTAGACAGTCTCGACTGCCAGATTGATGGGGGCCTCCGCAGTTTCGACATTTAGAGGCCGCTTTACACTCGAATGCCGAGTGCATGGTGGATCCGCAGTTCCAGCAAGCTGGCGCGCGAGAGCACCCACGGGTGGCGTGGAAGCCGAGACATCGCCTACATTTCTGCATGGCAGGGCGGTTTCGTTGGATTGTCGCTACTCCCGAGTCGTCAAAGAGTCGGAATCCAGGCTTTGGGCTAGCATTCCTGGGAAACAAGGCCGCCCAGGATCTGTAAGGAGCGCCGAGCTTAGTATTTCCGTGTATCCTCACTCGGTCTGGAGTGCAGTTCGTTACCCGGAGGATTTCGGCGGCCACCATTTCGGCAGTGACTTCGATTCGTCCTTCTAAGCCGAAAACTGCAACTAGAACCGTTGCGATCTGGAGGGAAACTAGATCACTTGGTGGTTCTAGTTTTGACTCCACTTGCGTAAAGGTGCTGGAGGCCTCCAGCAGTCGAGTTTTTGCATCCGGGTTTTTGGCACGGATGGCAAAGCCAGTGGGAACGAGTTGCACCTGGTCGACATCGGAAGGGGTGCATTGCGTTTGTTTAGCCACGGCTTCGCGAACGCCAGCCGGAGAGAGCTGTCTCCACTCGTGGTTTGCATCGAGACGCAGGAAGAGTCGGTCATCTTTCGATGCTGTTGTTGCTACTGGCTTCTTCTCCGGTTTCCTGGCAGATGGAACAGCCGGAACCGAGGTGATGTTTGCAGGAGCCTGTGCTCCTGACTTTTGGTGTCCTGCTCTGGTGACAGTGGCCCAGGTGCTTCTGAGCGGAAGAGCTGCAGTAGCCTTTGAAATATTCCGGGGAATGGCTACAGGGACGACGGTCGCAGGGGGAGTCGCGACAGTTGGTCGGTGGGGTAGTACCGGCGGAGCAGTGATTGGCCCGGCCGCCACGAATTGTGCGATTGCTGCCCTTAGGTAGACTTTGATCGAGTCTACAAAATTTTTGTCTTCACCAGTGGAGAGCGGTAGAAGAGCTGCCTCGACACTACTAATCGCCGTCGAGCAGATATTAAATTGCGCGGCTTTTTGCCTTGCCCTGCGCTCCTCCGCTCCCATCGCTGCAAGCAATTCTGGAGGGTAAATTTTTTCTTTGCCTGCTGCTTCTATCGCTGTAGGCGGTGGGGCCAGCGAAGAGTTTTCGGCTCCTGCTGCGTTGGTTGAAGGTACGTCGGCCCTTTTCGCGGGCCTTACTTCCTTAAATCGCGGTAGTGCTGGAACCGTAGCGCGCTTTTCGGGTGCTGCGACGGTTTCTCTTGGAGTTATTGCGCGCCCTGAGGCTTTTTCCGCGTCTTCTGGGCTGGAGGAGGCCCATCTTGAATCTGATAGAGATTTCAACTTCTGGACTTCGACGTCCAACATCTCTACCTCGGGTATATTGCGAACGTTAGCTTCGAGCGCAGCCTCGATGTAGTCTAGATTTTTCTCGGAGGCCTCTAATCCTTTCTCCGTAAGTTTTTGTCTTGCAAGAGTTAGTATAGATTCATGCAATTTGTAGGATTTGATGACGCGATCTTTGGTGATTCCGCTGATCGCGTTTTGGTGCGTTCTACGCGTTGGAGGCATTTTAAAATGCCGCCGATGGCAAACAATTACGATTCAATAGATGATGGGTGAGATGGATAATAGGGTGGGAATGGGCAACTTGGAATTTCTCGAATTGTTTGTTTGTTTTCTATTTTTCGTCCGTCAAGGCACCAAGCTTAACTTAGGTCCCTACTACCCTCTAAACTACCTATAGGCATGGACGCCAGTGCTTACTGCCCTTGCTACTTCCCAACTAGGTTCGCAGGGCAGTTCTCTAATTACATGATTGCGTTTAGCATAGCACCTGCACTTTTTCCGCCAGTCCCCGAGGCTCTTTACTCATTTGATGTATAACAACCACTCTCGAGATACTACTAATAGATCCATTCATAAATACCGCACCATCCATCCATAATGCAAGGCTCAGGGTTGGGGCAGAGTTGGAACATGAAGATTTCATTGTGTGATGAATAGCTAATTATTGCGTACTGTTATATTATATCACGTGAGATAAGTCATTCTAACACTATAATACTGACTAATTGATACTTCATTGCATCCGTACCCAATACTATGGTGCAGGGCCGAAACTATGTGCCTGTCAAACTTAGTATTGACCAGCCACCTCTTATTTACCATAGTAAGTTACGGTACGTTACATTACGCAAATACCCAAATGTATATGCATCAGAAGATTTGGTTGGCACACTCGAGACATATATAGAGAGAGTCGGTCTTGTCGGGAACCTCAGACGAACCAGATAATGATTGAGTCCTAAATTCGATAGTCAGAATTTCCAACAATGCTAACTACATCTTACCCTTTTCAATCCATGTAGATAATATATCATTCAGTTTGATGGCTGGTCGTGCTCTTTTGGCCTTATGGATTTCATCGCTACTTTGCACTTTTGCCATAAAACCTTATGTAAATTTTAATGTATTCTCGCAAGAATTAGTTTAACAATTGCAAATACATGAATGGGTGCCCAGAATGGATAGTTTGCATTAGGAAAACGGATGCATTTGTATATCGGCTTGATGACCCAAAGAACTACCTTTTACATTGTAAATTTTCAAATCGTTAATCGTTATTCCTTGTGAGAAGCATGACGTGAATCTACATCAGAGCTTTTTTCAATATTTCAAAAGTTATTTAGATCTGTAAAAGTTAATCTTGCTAAATTTTCAAGCCTCTATTTCCAAATTATTTGTGGGGTCATCTTTTGCAAGCTTCTTTTCTTTCTGAATGGTGAATATTTGAACAGCGCCTAAGCCTGCAACCAAAGCACTCATATACCATGCTAATCCTGTCAGATTTGTACGCGTTTCAAGGCCATACAAATAGCCAGATATAGGTGGTGCAATGGTTCGAGATGCTGCACCAATAGATGCTGCTAAACCATTTACTTTTCCTAGAGTTTTTAGGCTTGGAGTAGCTTCTTTTATCGAAATCAAAAGAGCTGGATATGCAATAATTGACAGAATATTTCGTATAGTGAGACAAGCGTATATTCCTGAATCAAGCCAGGAAGCGGAGAGATAAGATAGATATGGAACAATGAGAAAAGAGACTGGATGTAGGCTGGTTACTACAAGTAGAATCATTTTGATTCCAAGGTATTCAGCTGCGAAGGGAAAGATAAATACCTGCACAATTATAGCTAATAATCCATCAATAGACATGATTAGCCCTACTTTTCCAGTACTCAATCCTAGTCCTGAAGAGGAAGAGTTATTTCTGACGGCATTTGCGGTTTGGAATGTTATATTTTTTGGATTATCCTCCAAAAAAATGGGAAAGAGGTGATCGTAGGTCATACTATGATATGTAAATATTCCCAAGGCGTAGATAAAACCTAAAATTCTCGGATTTAAGGTTTTATTCGTGCTGCACTCTGAGAATTTGTCTTGATTGAGAGGCCCACATGAGCTTGCAACAGTCCCATAATCCGTAAGATTGGATCCTGTCATACTGATCTTTCTAATGTCAGATTCTACAACCATTGGCACCTGCTCTGAGAGATATATACGATCGGAAGGCTGCTTATCGGGATATGTTTCCTCGAGCAGGAAATATCCCATCATGATACTGACTAGAAGAAGAAAGGCGCACACGAGATTCGGTAAAAAGTAAGGATAGTGGCCGAAAACTCCGTCACGAGAGAAAGTATTTGGAAATGATCGTGTTGGGTCAGCCAATATACCTCCAATAGCGGGACCAAGTACTGTGCCGACCGACCATACAAATGGCATGATTGCATAAGCTCGGGTCTCGTGTTTAGGATTAGTGACCAGCTCGCCCACCATTGTTTGAATCACAGCAATATTGCCATTGAGAAGACCGCCGATTGTGCGACCCATGAGTGCGATCCAGAAATTATGAGCAAGACCGACAACTAATAGGCTTAAAATTGTTCCAGCACCGCCACAAATGAGAACTGGTTTTCTTCCAATCCGGTCAGATAAAGATCCCCAAAACATTCCGGAGAAAGCTTCTCCGAGTGAAAATGCGGATATGAGGAGCCCAGCGTAAAAAGAAGCATCTTTTTCCTGGCCAATTTTTAAAACTTTCACGAATTTCCAGGCGTACGGGAATATAGATGTGAGTGCAATAGGTTCGGATAGACGTATAATGGCTGGAGAAATCTAAGTCAATCGTGTTGGGCAAAGGGGTGACTCCACGGAGCGTCGATGGATGTAGACAACTTACCGAGGAGAAAGAACTGAAATATAGGAAATCTTAGGGGATCTCGTAATCTGCTAGGAAAAACAGGGGCCATAAAATTAATCGAGTTGGGCCGAACTAGACTTTTTGTCGAGGGCAAGGAGGCTCGCTTATCTGACTTTTTCAGGAATAAGGGAATGGACGAGGATGATGAAACCAGTTTCTGGCTGGGTCGTGACCGTTCTCATGAATTTTGGACTAAAGATATAAATTCCAAGCAGATTAATAGAGTGGTAAGTAGGGTAGCGGTGAGATTTAGGTCTCGCAAGGGACCCAACAGAAGGATGGGACTAATAAATGTGCTCGAGCAGAAGCTTGATGTGCCTTGGTTTTCTATTTCGTGGATTTAGCGAGCCTGATTCCAAGGTTCAGGGAGGTTTTGTAACCGCGCGCCTGAGCTTAATTGCAGTTACTTAACCTCCCAATTGATGAAGTGGTGTGACCAGAATCGTGCGTTGTCGGCCTTAGATTGAACAGTGTGACATGTGTGCATAACCAAGAAGCTTTCTTGTAGGCAAGAGGAAAAGTAGGCGATAATATTCCTCTAGTTCCTTGCAATAACTTGAAGGAGCATGGACATGTTCGATGAAAGTGGTGGTATGTTTCTGCGTATCCTTTCAATTGAATTTCAGAGTGGGCCAGATATGTTAAGAGATTTAAAGGGCATCAGCATCACCTTTACAATTATATATTAAGATAGGATCCAATTCATTTGATATAGTAGATATATTTTATGCTTATTATCATTTCGAGGGATTTCCAGGCTGGATTTTCCAAAACAAGTTGAAGTAGGGAGATGGTGTAGAATTAAAGGATATTCTAAATGTTTGACCAAATGAGACCTCGTCGGGAGTGTTAATTTCAGGTTAGAAGTGAAAAGGAGGCACAAATATCTTAGGCGTGCAGGCAGATAGGAACTATACGCCCTGCGCAGTACAAGATCAAAAAACAGTTAGTTTTCAAAAACCAGTATATTCCACTTATCTTGATGTGTCCTAAGCCCAGATAGGATATCAGACACCCTGTCACATTATAATCTGTAATAGAGTTAACCTCATAAATTCACTCTTTTCCTTAAGAGATCGACAACGGTTTGCAAAAAATACGATATTCATTGTCAGTTATGTGTAGAGCATCTACTTCTATATGAGGTTCGGTGTCATGGTCACGTGACTAACAAGGAGGAGCCTTTATGTTGACTACAACAATTTATGGCGTCTCTGGCATGAGATCAAATAAAACACTAAAAAATTGTGGCGGCTTCTGAAAAGCCTCAATCGCTACGCTTTTGGTTGCCTTTTAAGCGGAACTAAACATTCAACGTTAAGAATTCTCTGGATTCTAGGCTCTTCTGAAGGAGCGATAGTTTTTTGTAAGCGGCTTCGTAACAACTGCTTTTTTGAAGCAGGGAAACGACGACACTACCTAGCACTCGAATCATTTAATTATTTACTGGCCTTTGCTAGACCGTAGATTCATAGACTATTGGTCTAGGTGATAGATAGTTTTCCTTCAAATATAGATATACATCTTGTGTACTGTATTGAATAACAATAGCCGCAGTATGGGAGCATTCTTGACGTCTTTTGATAATTTGGGATGCATGGCAAGTTTTCCTTGACCAACTTATTACTTTTAGGGCTTAATTAATGTTAGAAATTGTCAAGGATTTCTAGGAGGAAATATCTCGATGAACAAGTGTACAACTTCGGACAAGAATATATTGATAGTTGTATATGACATCGAGTTCTTTTCTCAAAATGAATTAATAAAATATAATATTTCGATTACTTAGTTTAACATATACAAATAAGCCAATCCTTAAATACAGATTCCCGAGGCTTTAGTGATCCCGAACTCCCTGTGATCTAGCTACAATCAGCCACTCAATTACCGCATGGTATCATTTTCTAGCCACTGCATTTCAGATACTACTGAACCTCGTTTCCCCTAGCTGAGCTTTTTTTTTTTATCATTTAATGTGTATTCAGCTATAGAGCTATGACACTTGACCGGTGCTATGTATACATGTTGGATGACTCTTTTGACGTTAGAGACACACATACTCTGTATTTCATTTGCAAATACCACTATGAGGTATATTCGCTCACACAAACAGTCGACCCTCCTCCGTGAGTACCCACCAATAGAACGTTTCAAAAGCTTTGGTTATCCAAGCATGCCTTCGTCATCCATACATACCAGCGCCGCGAGAAAAGTGGTTGTGTTTTGCCGGATTTGAACCTGCGATCTACTGCCTCGAGTGGGATATGTGTCCAAGCTATCCAGACTCTACTTGGCAGACCGGCCAAGACGATGTACCACCGCACCATCCAACCATGGCGGTGTTTATAGTGTCGCCTGCACTCTCGCAATCGAAGGCTTGGCATGCACACAACGCAATTAGTAAAACCTCCTTGCCAAAATTCGAATTTTTACGCCCGGCGTGAATGTATCCATTCTCTGCATCATCTCATCAACTTATACTGTTCCCTCTCACTCCCATCCCGAAGAACTATCTCTCAGATTTGTGCGCCACGCTTTGCTTCCTCCGTCGGGTGTAAATATCGGCGTGGGCGTGTATTTGGTGACCGGCTGAGGCCAGAGAAGGTCGGCGAGAGGTGTGGTCATTGGAATGAGGATATACTAGGTCGTACTTGTAAACTTGATGAGGCTTAGGTAGGATTCGATCTTTTTTGGAATGAAAATTTGACGTGGTGTAGTATTTTGAATCATTGCTTCGTGGGCCAACTTCTTTGATATTGCGTGAATCAATTTGGCTCTGGGAGAATATTTCACTCCCAGGTTCGTAGAGAGCACCACTGACAGGTGTTCAGTCTTGCCCTCCCCTAGCTGAGCTTAATCGTATGCAATAGAAACAAGTAAATTGATCTTGATGATCAAACTAGCAATCTAAACCTTCATACATACGAAGTCTTGATTTCCAACAGTTAAGAGCGTTGGCACGTTGAGTAGTTTGTATAGACTGAGCTGGCGCGATGATGAAAAAATGAACAGGTTGTGGCAGCTTAGGGCCTGGCGTGTAAGGACTAATTACGATAGCTTGTTCTCACAGGAGAATCCAAAAATGTAGGTTTTTTGATTTGATTTCATTTAGCCCGTTCAGGTACCCTATGGGCCCATGCAGATATATCTAGCCATAATATTTACTCAGGAGGAAACCAAATTCGGTAAAAGCCCCCCACAACTGTCTGTCTCGTATCTATTTGTTTTCTGAGGTCCCCTACAGGAAGTGTGATTACACTGCAAGAATATAGGTTTATATTCTGTCCAATGAATGAACTACACGGGCTACGTAGTTTAGCATCTGCTGAGTCTTACGTAAGACGCTCCTAGCTTGACTATCCATTGAGGTCACGTGAACAATCTTTACAGATGGTGTTGAATAAGTCCGATTTTGACCCTACAAGTCCCTAGGCCTGTCATACCTGACCCCTGATCCCCTCACTTGAGGTTTTATGAAGATTGAAAGCAGTATAACCCTGGTATGACAGTCTTCACATCCCTAATGACTTTAAAGATAGTACCATAATCTGCTGAAGTTGAAGAAATACAGCAGTTCTAGGCAATACTACGGTAAATAACGCCATAGGGGATGCTGCCACCGCTAGTATGATAGTAGAGCAGTCGTTGACTTACAATAAAATTAAGCGCCGAGTCGAGTCGGACCACAAGCGGATTTCGGCAGGTCTGGAAGTAAACGGTTCTATAGTCACATGAAGTCCATGGCCTTTGTATAACAATTGGAAACCGAAAAGGCAATACTTTACCAAGAATAGCTTTGCCCACATTCTCACTTCGAGGATATCGCATGATTTCACGGCAAAATAGTTTAAGATTGGGGGGACTATTCTCAGGTCCTGTTAGAAGTGTCCCTTACAAACCTCCAGCTCTCACTGGAGGGTCTGCAGAGCCGAGATTGAGTGATACCATCCCCACTTCCATGAGGATTCCCAATCGCTTTAGCAGCCTATATCAACTTTATCTCTTAACACATTCCTCTATCCTCCATTATTATGAAGCTAACCAGGATCAAGACAGATGTTGGGTTCAAAGCCCTACTCGTCACCCACCCTTAATCATTGAGACTGCCGCTGTTAGGGGATTAATCCGTTGGGTTTTTACTGTCTGCGCCAGTACAGCAGGAATGGAATATAGGGCCTAGCTAGCTACGGGGGCTACTAATGTTGCGGTCTGGATGTGATTGCTTAGCAACATATATTTTTATGATCGGCGCTGATAATTACAATTCCCTATGTATACAGCGAGAAGTAGGAAATATTCTTTTCTAGAATTCATTAATTAACTGATTTATTCTGGACTTGCTCTGCTGTATACCAACACCAATTGATCCGGTGACAGCCGTTATGAATAGCCAATTGATCGCTGTTGGTATCTACGCAATTAATAGTGTTTGGAGGACTGGCGTATTTGTTTGGGTAAACATCACAGATTTGATTGCTAAGACTCAAAATGTATTACTAGCTATCTTTGAATGGAATAGATAATCAAATTTATGTGTATACATATTTAAAATATCACCTGAGTGAAGTCACAGAGGCAGAGCCATCTAACGGGTTTCCGGAGCGTACCCAGCACCCGATACGGAGATGGTGGATTGGATCAAGTCTACCTCGACTATTACAAAGAAGGGAGATATAGATGAATATGCACACCTTATGTGGTCCTGGTGTCTAGGACTCACCTGGCTGGGGCTGCAGGTTTTTTGAGACTTTTCCCGCGCACGCAGTTTCCATTGCTACCATTTTTATTTTTTTTGGGGTAGAAGCTTCCGTGGAAAATGTGGCCGAACTCCACATGTCAACATTGAGCTGAATGGCTTTTCATCACGGGGAATATATCAATGATCTTTCGAGGAACATGAGAGGCAAGGAGCACTGTACAAGGTGAGGTCGAGGTCAGAGAGGAGCCCAATGTACTAGATGGTCATAGACTCAAGTAGCACGATAAACTCACACATACATCACTATTTTAGCCTTTATATCAAAGTATCACACTGAGCTGAGCTAAGATTTGGGCCTGAGTAGCTAGAATCTACCAAAAATCCCATTTAAATTTTATTTTACTCAATACTGGTCATCCCATCAGGGTTGTAGTCTTCTGATAGTTAAATCTTCATGCCATTTGAATTGTTCCTTTACTCCATTGCTTTATTCGATCCTTATCAAATGAGCTGATTAATAATTCATGTAAGCTTTTCAAATCTGGACTAGAAGCTAATGCTTGCTGTACTTCAAGCCAAGTTAAAGTACTGAAACGAGTTATAAGTGTTGTGCTTCCTTCATCAATCATACAAGCCCTAAATAATATCTTTATGACCTGTTCTCGGAACTCTGGGCTTGAATAGTTGTTGTATGACGAAAGAAGTTTTTCAAAGACTAATACTTTGCGATATAGCCCAAGATCAGACTTGGAACGCAAGCCTTTGTAGATGCACATTAGTAACCATTTTTTTTCGGCAGCAGATTTTTCCGTAATGCTTGGTGCCTCATCCATAATACGGTGCATTAAAGGTATTTTATCTATTCTCCAAATTGGACCTCGAAGTAGAAACTTGTTGAGTTTTGGAAACAAAAAGTGTGAAGGATCCTTGAGTACATTAACTGCATGAGATGCAAATGCGGATATCACAGATGGTAATGGCTCTACATCGATAACCGTCTTAGCAGTTTCGCTGATTTCTGATAATAGAAGCCAAATCTGTTCTTTTTCCCCAAAATTAGAATCCTTTAGCTTGAAGGCAATCTTTGATAGATTTGTTACTGTCTCTTTCCGTACTTCTAGATACTTTGAAGACAAAAGCATTATCAAAGAAGCTAGATGCCCATCTTCGATAACCTCCTCTATGTCTCTGGTGTTCCAACTAACGAGTAATTTAAGGTCTCTCTCTGGATCTGTTTCTATTTTAAAGGCTTCCTTTTCAGCTATTAATCTTTCCTTCAATTTTGGATGTGGTTTATCTGAATCTTCAAAAATTTTCCCCAACGCATCATATCTTTTATTAGGAATTTTTATTTGATTTATAAGCTTGTTAGAGTTTTCTATAAGCTTCGCTGCAGCGGATCCCACTGGGCAATTAGCAGTAAACTTTTCTATTAATCTCTTAATTATTCTAGGATCTTCTTGAATTTTGATTGAAGTTGCAAGGTGTCGGGAGATGAAAGACGCGACAATATGTAAAGAAGAATTATCTGCTGTCTTTACGAAAAAAGGCCATTGCTCAAGAAATGCCAATGAAATTAAGCTGATGGCGACCTCTTTTGATTCATCTTTATTTATCTCTTTGACCAGTTCTTCAAGCATAAAGATATACTTAATAGGTGTCCCGGCACAACGTATGAAGCACGAATCAATGAACTCAAAGCACTCTTCTGGAACATCATTTATCATTGTGTCCTTTAAATTCACGATGAGGCAATCCAGGGCAGAGATGTTGGTCTTTGTTTGAAGCAATTGGGTTTCTTCAACAATAGATGCCAAGACAGACTTGAGGCGAAACATTGGAAATTCTAGAGATGCTATAGCTGAAAGTTTCAAAATTATCAGAAATGGTGATACGGAAAGGCCTTTCCCTTTGCTCAACCATTTAACTTCAGGGATAGAGCTAGCAAGAATTATCATATTCTCCAGCTCTAATACTCGGAGAACATCATCTTGTGATGCTAAGCTCATTTTATTAGTAGCAAGCAATGATTCCCCTATCACTGAAGGAATACCAGAATTGGGCTCTGATATGATTTGAGGTAATACTTCATAGTATAAATTGAGAAGATTTGAGTAAGCATGACGTTGAATTAAATCTACTTTGTCTAATCTTCGATAAGCAGTGATGATAATATTGACTGCTGGCAGCCGCTCTGTGACTTTCTTCATGATTCTTGAAGCAGATTCGTTCCAGATCGAGGATAATGACGACTTCGAAGCTTCTTCGTACATATTTAAAATAACCTTCAGTTTTTGGAGCGCAGCGCATAAAATCTTGACGACAAGGTATGTGGCGAGAGGTTTGACGGATGGACTAAAGCTTCTTACTAAGACCTTGTGATTTAATGGGTGAGGGAGGACATTTCCAATGATGATAGATGATGGAGGTGGCAGCTGAGCGTATTTATCATGATAACCGAAATACTCAGGCAATGGGATTTGAATCACACCAAAAACAAAAGATGAGTACCCAACCCACGTTGTAGTGAGTTTTGGGTCAAAAGAAAAATCTTTTTTGGATAGAAAGTATTCTGCGATAAGCTCCGGGGCAGATTTGAATATTGATAAAATTAGCTCGGCCTGCTTGATACATGACCATGGACGCAAAGTCTGAATGAATTCTAGCAAGATCACATTTCTGACTGGAATTTTTTCATCAAACTTATGTAACCATTCGATAGAATCAAGACCTAGATCAATATATCCTCCTTCTTTATCAACGAAATCCCTGCTGTCAGGTTCTGTTCCTTTAGGGTAGAGACCTGATTGGACTAATAGAGCGCCTTGGTTGATTGATGTACAGCAGGTCAGCAAGAATTCGTGAGTGATATCAACTACTGAAGCTTTTGAAGAGTCGAGGTCTTCTTGCCAGTCACAGCTATATAATGAGGCAATTCTTCCAAGGAAGCTTGGGGTTAGAATCTTAGATTTTGCATCTCGTGTGAGCTGGACGTCCATAATTACATGCGTTTTTAAGGTCTCTAAAACGTCACGGACTAGGAATGCAGGGTCATATCTGATATCTCGAGTTAAACCTGAAATGATGTCTCTTTGATTCAAAAATTCCTTTTTAGACTCAACAGAGAGGTATTTTAACAATTGTAGAACAAATCGAACTGCATTAGAGCGTACAGATGGCTTGCGGAGGTCCTCCTTACCATCACCCGTATACCTTAAGTTCAGGTTTCTTGTTAATCCCTTGAATGTCTGGCTGCGGGCTTTGAACACATAATTTGCCAAGGATCCTCCATCATACATTGACAGCTCTCGGAGGAGCCTCAGTATAGGGGAAAGTATAAACTCTCTGTTCTTGTTTGCGATAAGACTTCGTCCAATCAGTTCTTGTTGCTTTCTCAGCAACAAAGTTTTTCCTATTTTTAATCCGAAAGGCGTTAAATCTATGTAACTTGATATCGTCTTTAAGAGAAGCGCAAGGACAGCCGGCACAGCGGATAGCAATTTTTCATTGTTCGACTGTGATGCGAAACTCCATGTTTGCATTAAATCTGATAAAAAAATTTCTTCATTTTGCTCAGTTTTTATCGGTTGCTGAAGATTAAAAAATTCTTTCAGAACGATAATGCCGGCAGTATTATTTTCGCTAGTTAGACCGTCTAGAAACAGTTTAAATGACTGGATATCTGTAAATTGTTCAGTTATTTAATTCCTGTAGGACGATGTATGATATACTTTGTATCGACTTGGAACTGTCCTGACTAAAAGTCAAGAGTTTTTGTATTTGAGCTCCGGAACTTATATCGTTTGTTCCGTAAACATTTTCCCTGGTATCGTTTGATGTCTTAGGACGTTTGTTGGAAGTTTGTCCGGATGGTTGAATAAGGTTAGCAGCTCGCTTTATGGACATATCTGATGTCCAATTTGTCGAATGAACCGACGGAATGATACAATTAGAGTATATAGTGGACTAAATAATGCTGCGAAGGTTTACGCGGATGAAGGTTTATCCGGTAAGTGACTATATCCAAAGACAATACTCGATGGATTATAGCACTCCCGCACTAGTTTCATTATGACCTCGAATCTACAATTTTTATCACCTCAATGACTGTCTCCAAGGCATCACATTCTTCTTCTAACTCTACCAAATCAACTTATTCCGATGATAATTTAGACACTGCTTCTGATTGGGAAACAGGAAAAAGCCGACCTATTACTATTTCCTCGAATGCTAACGCTCTTCATGGCGATCAATTAAAAGCAGATCTGCAGTTCAAGAAAAAATGTATCCTGTGGGTGCACGAGGAAGGTTTTTCTAGAGATGATGTTGTTTTAAACGTGGAATTATTCCGAAATATCAACCCGGGCGACCTTCTGACTATCCTACCTTGGAAGAGTCCCTTTGCAAATCATATCAAAGCAACGTTAAATAAATATGTTGTTACAGAGCCGGTAAGGGAGCAAGCAGCATCTTCGAATCCAAGCAGCTTGAAAGGAACAGAAAAATGTAATAAAACACTCGATTTTGATATCGGAAACCAATTCATTTTCGTTGTTAAAGATACCCCTAAAGACATTAAATCGGACCTACAAATTTCGGTTTCAAAGCATGTAGCTGACCTATTTAATTTAAAGCATCGCTCCAATGTTCTTGTTACATCGGTCGGTGTCCTGAGATATTACAGACAGCCAAAACTGATATGCTTGAGCAGGCTGACGCAAACGACAGTTCTGCATCGCATGTGGAGTTATCCTTTAAAGACGAGTATTTAGCTCGTTCTGACATGTGGAGATTAACTGTAAGCGAATTAAGCGGTAAAACAGTTTATCATGGACAGAAAGTTCTTTTTATGGGTTCTATAAAAGCCCAAGTGACAGCAATACATAGGGACAATCGGAAAGTACAGTCTGCTTACTTTTCTATAGACACTAAGCCAATATTCAGAAGCTGCTCTGCGCGTTACACTTTATTTATACAGATGTCACGAGAGATGTGGGACTTTGACTATGAAGGTTCTGGCGAAATAATGTTTAACCAAGTTATTAATGGTTTCTTACCTGGTCTTTTTAAAAGATGGGCGGCTCTGAAGTTTGAACATCTCGTTAGCATCGTACTTTTTGCGAGAGTAGAGTATGATACAGGTATTACTCAGGGACTAGCTTCGGAAACGCACAGTGATTCATTTTACACTGGCATTCAGCCAAGTGGCAGCAGAAGACCATATAAAGACTTTTACAGAGTCGTGGTTTATGAGATGTCATCAGGATCATGGACCACGATCCTCTATCAACTTAAGCTTGAGTTCAAGTTCTTCCGCAAAGACATTTTAACGCATCATCTTAAATCTTATATTTCTGTGTCTAAAAAAACCTCAGGCAGAATTTCAAATGGAGCATCTAGCCCTCGTATCGAGGCCGAGTCTTCACTTGCGATGTATGGTAACTTACTGGAGGCCATTAATCTTAGCTGCTCACAATTTTCCTACGAAAATATTGATCGGGATCTGATGAGAACAGGCGTTTCTATTTTATTTATTACCCCTTGCGCCGGTCTTTTTGAAGTTGATTTTCAAATTTTGAAGATGACAGCAGAAATGCTTTCTGAAAATAGCATTAGCATAGAATTAGTATGCCTACCAAGGATGCCGTTGCACTTGACGCCTTTATTCCGATATAGGAATCCTAAATATGATATGTTTTTTGAATCTCTGCGCTTGAAGACAATCCGAAATGAACGCAACACGCTTGGAGAGCATGGTATCTTTTCTAGCAGCTTCTCTTCGATTGAAGGTTCTTTCTCCCCATCTAAGCCCTCAAGGACATTTAGGAACCTGCGTATTGATTCTTCTGCAACTAAACCTCCCGAGGAATGGGTTTACGCCAAACCTAGTTGGATAAATATATCGTTTTGGACTGGTCCCTCATATAATGAAGATTTTTCTAAAGTTACAGATCAACTGAACTCGAAGAATCTTTGTGGCATAATGCCTAAAAGAGCTAGCGACTTTGCGGTTCGCTGTAAAATGTATGAGATGGAAATGACTGGAACCATGGAAAGCATCCTAACAGAAATTTCGATTAGCCCATTAGATTTCGATCCTCTATTTTCTCAAATAGTGAGTCGGCCGCGCCAGAAAGTTCTAGGTAAAATTATCAGGAAAAAACCTTTCAGAGGCTTATCTGAGCTGAGCTTTAGCCCTTCCAGGGCTCTGCTAGGTCGACAGACATCGCAGGAGAAGAATTTTCAACAAATTTTCGAAAATTATGATACCTTAGTATCACAGGCACCTAGAGGACAATCGAGTATACTAGAAAGGGAAGATATAAGAAGACAGGTTAAACACGAGAGCACCGGAATTCTTCATGATCTGACCACCACTGGCTCAGATCTTATCTATACACCTGGTTTAGGTAGAGGTAGTGGCTCTAACGTACCATATACGGCATCAAATCAAAAAACCAAGAGAAAAAAACAGCGTTATTTCACAAATTATGATGAGCAAGAAGCCCGGAAATTTGCGAAAGATAATTTTTTGATCAATAACAGTACTTCTATGGCTAATTCCAAAACATATCTGACAAAACATTCAAAACCAGACCGCCAGATCAGCCTAGGCATGCATGGGTTTGGAATTGCATCACCCAAAGCTGTAATTGCTAAGCCACAAACAGAACACGCGAATGCTTCTAAACCACGCTCGTCCTCAAAGTCTTCAAAGAATATGGAAAACATGTTAATTAATAGTAGCTTTTTGCCACACAATCTTTCTTTTAAGAGCCTATCCGCCTTTGAGATACCATCATCTAGAAGCAAAGAGCCTCAATATAGACCCAATTCAAACCCAAAATTTATGTCAGATAGCTGGAATCTGAAAAAAATACCACTAGTAAGACCAATGACTATTAAAGGTTCAACCGAGTCACCTTTTTCAAATCATCAACATGAACCACAATTAGGTCGAGAGTCATCTTTTCACAACTCATATCGAAATTTAGATTTTGAATCTTTTGATGCTGTTAAATCTTTTAAGGAATACGAGACTCAAAGGCCAAACAACCCAAAATTGATTATTAGCTCTTTCTCAGAACTAAACTCAACCTTATCACCAACTTCAGCCCTTTTACCGTGCCCAACTATTCTAAATCCCTCTAATCTATCTATAGAATCCATGAGCGATTTATATCATTACAAACAGTGGCAACATACACCCTCACGATTTATGCAGAAGCAGCCAGTTAAGTGGAAATCCCTAAGCTCTCCTGCTTCTATCCCATTAACAACTGATGCATTCCCTACAAAGTATCAATTAGACACAGATTATCAGCAAAAACCATATAATATTTCTCAGAATTTGGACGATGATTTCAATGAGGCACCAAAAAAAAGAGAGGGCTTAATAAGAGAACTTGTCGGGCTTCGTCTTTCGCAGGGATTTCAGATAGTTACTGGCCCTTTAGTTGCCGAAGCTTTTGGACAAAAGGCCCTAAAAATGGCGAGCGTATTTGATCAGAATCAAATTGCAGAAGATGGGGTAAGCATCTATATGTCGATGGGTAGTACAATTCATCAGTTATCTTGCGTTAATGACGGCGAGGTTGAGATAAATATATTTGTTCGAAAACCAAATCAGTCAAGTTTATCTAATCAAGGTCTTGTCTATAATCCCGGTATAAAATCTGCCTTGAACATAAATATTTTACTTTTATTCTAATTAATTTTAAGCTATTCGTACAAGCTTTGCTCAAACATACGAATCTCAATCTCTTACTCTTGGCAAAAGAAAAGATGATTATAATTGGAACTACGTTGATGCCTTCCTAGGAGGCTACAACGAAGATATGTCAGATAAGCTTCGCTTTTGGTGTGCCCGTTTTGTGCTTATACCAGTTGAAAGGCCTTCGCATGCAATTAGGCGTCAGGGAGAAGACAGTGAAGAAGAGATTCGACTCGAAGGAATCAAGAGACTAACTCAAATGTGGCAGAGACATAGGGTTTTGACTCCAAATGAAAGTCGCTTTCAAACTTCATCATTTCGAAAAACCAAAGATCCAAATCCATTGGACATCGTTTACAAAACTGAGGACCCATCTAACGTTGTCACCGCAGAGCTTGAGACACTTCCCTTGGTCGAAGTTGGAGATTTAAATATGCGAAAAAGCCAGTTGCTTGAGACTGAGCGTTTTAAAAAGTCAAAATTAGATATTGCTGCACTAGCCGAAGCTATCCAGGCTCCTGTTGAAAAAGGCGGAGTTCGAATGCAAAATCGGAGGTGGCACCTGCGACTTCATCATAATTGTTTTATTGGATCAGATATGGCTACTTGGCTGATAGATAACTTTGAGGATATTGAAACCAGGGAAGAAGCTGTTGAACTGGGAAATAAACTAATGTTAAGGGAGGAGCTTCTGAGATCCAGGGATAAGGATAAAGAGAAAGAGATGGGGTTATTTGTTCATGTCGAGAAACGGCATTTGTTCCGAGACGGGCAATATTTTTATCAGCTCACCGGCGAGTTTGCCAAACAAGTCCCCGATAACCGTAGTGGATGGTTTTCCTCAAAAAGGCGTGATACTTCAATTCCACCCACACCGCTAGGGGAATGTATGTGGAGAGATGCTCAGAGGTCAGAACAATCGCGGACAAGTTCTAATTACGACGAAAAATGCTCCCCATGTAGCTCAATAACTCAGACGTTTTCATGTGGTGGAAAGAGACCTCGTGTGTTTTTAAGTAAAGTCATGAAATATGATGTTGATCACCGCAAACGTTCATATCGTCCCGAGATCATTAATCTTCATTATGACCGCCTCCACAATCCTGATAATTGCTATCATATACGAATTGACTGGATGGGTGTTACTGCTAAGCTTATCAAAGATGCCATCGAATCTTGGGCTACAGTGGCGGATCGTTATGGGCTTAGACTTGTTGAAGTACCCATCGGTGAGGCTCAAAAAATAAACTCTGTGAATCCTTTCAGACGACCTTACCATATGGAACTTGTTGTCCAACCCCCAAATCAACAGCTAAGAAGTCTCATGGACATAAACTGTCTCTCATCTCCATCTAACTCAACTCCATCAAGCCGGAACTTCTACCAAAAGTCCATTTTAAAGAAGTTTAATTTTGTCCTGGATATCGAGGCCGCTAAAAACTTTCCAAGTAATGTGGATGTTCTTCATTCTTGGGGCAAACCAGACTATCAATATTCGCAGTACATTCATCGATCTGGAGTCATGCTAGCTCAAATTACTGATGAAGGAAACTTCCTGCTTCTAGCGAACCGGGTTTACAGTAATAAAACTGTTACGCCTAAAGATGAAGGGTAAGTCATTCTTATCCTTTTTTTATAAATATGATCCCTCAGTACATATGATGAGAAAGGTCTATGAGCCGATAGAGAATTAAATCATAACTCACTCTGCGGTTATTTAAAAATTTATGCTTGTATGATCTAATGAGTGTGGGTGTCAGTCAAATTACCTTTAGACAGGTCGATAATAGCACACCTCGATCTATTTTAAACGAGCTGCAAGTATTTTGTAATGACGGAGAGGCCTTGAAAACATTTTACCAGGATGTGTACGACAGAATGTATGCTCCTTTCGCCAACACTTCACCTTGCTTTCGAAGCACGAGCGAGGGTCTTCATGATTACAATATCTCGACTCTACGCCTACCACCAAGCCTAGTTGTTCGAAACAGTGGGTCAAATTCACGTACCACTGATACGGCCCCGGTGACATCTTCTCATTACACTTCTCAAAGTAATACGGGTGATTGGACGGAAAATGATAGTTCTGAGGACTTCAGTAGCTCAGATACCGACTCATCTGGAATGTAGATTGCCACCCGTATGACCTAGTGTATAGTTATGATACCACGTAATGTTGGGTGTTTACAAACTTGTCAATGTTTTTTTTTAACATGAGTTTTATCTCTAGGGATGGACATGAGTTAATCAGTCCTTTCATAGGTTTTCAGAGCATATATTTATGCTTGCAGTGACACGGGTTCTGTTGCGAAATTGTTTCGTGGTCTACGAACCAAGGCTCCTTGGTTTGAAGGTAAAGCCAGTGCAAGAGTTTCGATGGTTATCATTTGTAAATGCTAAGAATTCTAACAACTATCAAAGAGAAGATAGGATGGCATAAATGAGTTGATTGATGCGTTTAATTATTATTATAGTATGTTAAGCTAAAATAGTTTGTATATTAACGTGCTAGGTAAATGGCAACCTCAGAATTCCTAAGGGAGCCTAAGCACACGTGGGGCCGGGTTGGATTAGTTTAACTACCATGAAGTACTTAAAACTCGTCCTATCTCAGACTTTACCCTTGTGTAGAATCTGTCAAGTCCAATGAACCCGACTTTGTTTTTTTTTAATACGAATAGGTCCTGAGATAAAGCTCTTGATCCGCTATGGGTGAAGGACCGGTGGAACTGGCAAGGTTTCCAATAACTTTTCCTACAGCCTAACCTCGTTCCAACCTCGTGGATCGCTGCCAATAGTGCAGCTGATTAAACAGAAACAAAAAACCACGAAAATCAAAACAACTCTGAAAGACAGAAGATTCCTCAATATTGGACCCAAGCAATGCGCTCCTCACATTCTATCGTCCGTCACACCTTCCAAATGACAAAATTTATTCAATCTCCGCTGGGAGCAAGATATGGGTTAGCAGGCACCTTTGACACAGCCGGTATCCTGCTATTGGTTAGTAGATTCCCATGAGAGACATCGTCAAGGTTGCTGTTTCCTCAAGCTTCCTCTTCAGAATCCAGCGTTGCGAAACCTGTTGCCTCGGCCATCGAGGCATCTTTCACCGCGGCGATTATTGCCTCTTCGGCCCTTTTGGCTACAGCCCGTGCTCGTGCCACCATTGAGACCTTCCATTGCTCGATCTGGCGAATCCATGCGAGCTGCTCTTTGGTCACCGGCCCGGACTTTCTGGGTCTGACTTGGCAGTCCCGAGAATCCGATCGGTGGGGTCCCCCATAGTTGCGACACTTCGTGAGGGCTATACACTCGACTTCCGAGTGCATGTTAGATCCGCAGTTCCAGCAGGCTGGAGCGCGGGAGAAACCACGGGTGGCGTGGAAGCCCAAACAGCATTTGCACTGTTCAATTTAGCAACGAGGCTCGTGGACGATGGCCACTCCAGATTCGTCAAAAAGTTGGAAGCCCGCACGAGAGGCGGAGTCCCAGTCGAAAAGAGCATGCCAGTATCGATGAGGTGCTCCAGGTTGACACATCCCATGAGGTGATACCTGGATTGGAATCACGTCGGTCGTAACGGTGATCGCGGAGGAGACCCACTCAACATTGACCGCCCTGAGGCCGCGCTCTTTTTTTTCTTTTTTTTTTTAATTCATATTGTATTCAGCTATCTAGCTATGACAATTTGGTTTATTACATGGTGTAAACAAAAACAAGAACAAAATTAAAATTGATAACGCAGAAATAACTAACATGAGATTACATTTCTAGTGTCCTTTCTCATCCTTTCAAACTTTTCTGACTATAATTCATTCTTATTTCTATTATTATTTTGTCTTGTATATCGAGGCCGCGCTCTATAACTTTGCTTACAGGTACGTTCGGTATCTGTAAGGCGACAAGATCCGAAGATGGTTCGAGTTTGACGTTAACACTCGCCAGCTTCGAAGAGCCATCTAACATCTCTTGTCGTATGTTTTCATTCTTTGCTAGCATAGCAAAGCCGGTCTTCACTCGATGATGCGAGGTTATTTTATCGTGAAAGCAAAGGAATCTAGTCTCCAATTTACTTCTCACGCTACATATGGACAGTTTTCGCCACGGGTGGTCCTTCTCAAGGCGAAGGAACAGTTGCTCGTCGACTTTAGCCTTGGGAATTTCTTTATGTTGGGCTTTTGCCGCAGGTCGCGGCACAGCTTTAAAAGTAGGGACTGCTGCTTGTCGCAGTCCGATTTTGGCCACCGTAGCTCAGATGCTTTTTACAGACTGCACTTGGACGGCGGGTATGGTTTGGCTCCTGGCGTCGGGAACTCTTGGGATGGGGTTCGCCGGGCAAGTAAGGAAGACGAGTAGAGTGGGGGCCTGACCCGTAGCCATGTATTGCGTAATAGCGGCGCGTAGGTAGACTCTCGTCGAGTCCTAAATTGTCTATTTGACCCGTTGGTCAAAGGAAGAAGGGTGGCTTCGACGCCAGAGATGGCGGCGGAGCAGAGGGCCAGGATTACCGCTGTTTCGGTGTCGCGTCGTTGTTCAGCTTCGACAATTGGTCGAAGCTCGGGCGGGCAGTCTGCTTTCGAAGCAGCTTTTGGTGCAGCGTTTTTCGACGGTTTTGACGCGGTCGGAGGAGGTTTGGATGATTCCCCAATCCCGTAGGGGACAGAGGATGGCAGAGGGATTTCCTCGACAATTTCAACTGACCCGATCATATCAGTATCGGGCTGAACGACGGCGTGGAGAGCTTTTTCCTTCCCTTTTGAGATGGCCTGACCCATCTCCGCGCATTTCAAAGACAGGGCAAGGCCAGGTAATTTTTCGAGAGCCCTCGGGCGGACTCTTGTGTTGTCCAACGAGACGTTTGGACGCTTTTTACGAACTGGAAGTATGGTGAAAATGCCTGAGCTCGATTACAATTTAGAGATTGATGCGACAAGATTGAGAGGGGTGGAAAAAGGGAAAAAAGGAATTTTCGAATTTCTTGAATGATACGGGTTGTTTGTTCTTTTTTTTTTTGCATCAGATTTTAATTGCGTATGCAGCTATCTAGCTATGACACAATATCAAAGAAAAGTACAGGATAGATGACTCAATTTACAAGAGCACTCATGCCTCAGATTTCATTTGCAGGTACCACTGCGAAGTTATGGTGCCTTTTTCTTCACCCCAAGTCAACCCTCATCCGTGAATACCCACCCAGGGGAACGTCTCAAAAACCCTGGGTTATCCAGACATGCCTCCATCATCTTTCAACTTTTCTCCGCGCGATATGTGATCTGAGATGTCTCCTTCCCAAGTGGAGTAAGTGCCCAGGCTACTCAAACTATACCAGAGAACACCACCAGGAGGCGGACCACAACACCTTCCATCGTCGGCTTGTGTTTATAGTGTCAGCTACACTCTCGCAAGCGAAGTCTTGGCGCGCACAAAGCTCAATTCGTAAAACTCTTGCCAAAATTCGAAATTTCACGCCCGTCGAGAATGTATCCCTCTTCTTCTTCATCTCGTAAACTTGTCCTGATCCCTCTCACGTCCATCCCAAAAAGCTATCTCCCAGATTTATGCTCCATGCTTTGCTTCCTCCGTCGGGTATAAATATCGGCGTGGGCGTGTATTTGGTGGTCAACTGAGGCCAGAGAAAGTCGACGAGAGGTATGGTCATTAGGATGAGGATATACTATATCGTACTTGTAGACTTGATGAAGCTTAGTTGAGAATCGCACTCTTTGGGAGTGAAAGATTGACATGGTGGAGTAATTTGAATTTTTGGCTCGTGGGCCAACTTCTTTGATATTGCGAAATTTGACTGAACTTGGCTCTGGGAGAATAGTTCACTCCCAGGTTCGTAGTGGACACCGCGTACAGGTATTCAGTCTTGCTCTCCGGTCGTTTGTTCATTAACGTGCTAGGTAAAGTGTTTCCCGTCGCACTCCTACTGGAGCTTAAGCGCGGGTGGGGCCGGGTTGGATCAGGTTAACTACCATTAAGTACAAGTGTCTCGTTCCACCTAAATGACCGGACCACCTCAGACTTCACCCATGTGTTAAATCATGTCAAGCCCAACCGTTCAGAGAACCCAACTTTGACGCGCCCGAGCCCTTGATCGCACTAGGGCCTTGGCACCTACATAGTATTACTCTCTGTATACAGTCTCTTATGGATGGCAAAAGTAAAATTGTCAAAATTACTGGGGTTAGATCCCTGTACTAATTGCCTTAATTGGTATGGTTTTCATGCAGGCCATGTCTAGTTACTCGGCTAGTTATGCAAGCAAGGGATACTATCCAATGACATTCCATGAAAGTCTAAATTACGGGAATGGTTTTGAACTCAATGGGAAAAGTACAATGGTCCTCATTTGAAATTCAAAATTAAAAAAATTACTAATATTCTCTAAAAATGCACATCTATTTCAATTATAGTTGCTCTGTATTGCAAAAGAATACATCGAAGCCCTCAGTATGGCTTGCAAATAAAATGAAACCGTTCGACATGCTTTGTTTTAATCTGCTCCATGCTAATACTTTGTGTACCCTTCGTTTTCCTTTATCACCGCTACACATCTTTCGTGCATGTTAACCACACTTAACGGAGGCTTCTTCCGAGCAATGCATCTGCTGTAGCCTCTTTTTTTGAGTGCATTAGAAATTAAACATTCACTGCATCCCCAGTGGCTGAACAGCCCCATTGCTAGTTCCAAATGGCACATCTGTCGATTTTTAGTAGATTCCCGGACGAAAGACTCAAGCTCATCAAATTGTTCCGCACTTAATTTAGGTGAGCTTCCTTTGCAGGATACAGGATTCTCAGTCTCTCGAGCACACGCAAGTTGCACTTGCCTTATAGTGATGCCAAGTTCGTCGGATATATGTTGTAATGTCAAGCCAAGTCTTCTTGATGCTCTTATTTCAATACATTCATCGCGAGTTAGATGCTTGCGAACTTTAGTTTCTGAAGCAGACTTTAGGAGAGACATTTTTTGCTAGAAGTGAGGATGGATTGATAGTGATGTTAATTTTCGAGGACTGTGAATGTCAGGCAGCCAAAAGTGTCGTTGAAAATGTGTTTTTCTAGGCGATCGTTAGAAGAAGACGATTGTTAGAAGAAGACGATTGGACCATACTTCATGG